ACAAAGGGAAACTCATTCAATTAATATAACATTTTAATATTAAATTTTTATTTGCATGCTAAGTTGAAATGTAAAGTAATGTATAAGCAAATTCAAAATCTTCACTTATTCTTTTTTAACTTATTTATTATGTTTATGGAAGGAATTTGAATATATATTTTGAATATATTTTGAATTAATTTTTGATAATATCAATTAGTAGATAAAAAAATTTTCATTGAAAAATTTTCTCTTTATGAATGCTTAAATGCGAGCGTTTAGAGCGTAAATTATTATTTAATCTATTGTCTTAGATAAAGCTTAAAAACCTGGTTTAAACCATAAAAAATCTGATTCTACAAGGCTTTTTTGAAGAAAAAAATACGCCTTTTTTCTTCTTTTTTTAAAAAAACAATAATAATTTAAAAAAAAAGCTGTGTGGAAGCATCCAACAGACTTGTATTAGTAAGAACCAAGAAATAACACCGAGTAAAAAAAAATTATATTCACAGACTGGCATGATTTACTTTTGCGGTGCAAAGATTTGAAATAAACTATAAAATGCTAAGGCTGGTTTCCAAACAATTTTAATGACTATGAGCTAAATATATCACTATTAATTAAAAATATTAAAATCGATCCACGTGTTATTTTTTGATGTTATATTTTTAATGTTGTTGACGTTTATAAAAAATGAATTTGAAATGTTAATTGTAAATTGATTTGATTTAATTCAGATTAAAGTTACAATGTTTGATTGTTCGGTCATCAAAATTTTGTTACATTTGATGCCATTTCTTTTGTAAGACATCGTATCATTAGCAATTTTCTAATAAAGAGAATCGCAATAATTATTCAACTAATGAAGGTTTCAAAACAAAGAAATTTGCCCAATATTTTCCATAGTCTGGTACTTACTGAGAATACTAAAGAAAGGTCACAAAAATAAAAACTCCGTTTATGAAACTCTTCAATGAGAACAACAAAATATTAATTCAACTGCAGTTTCAAGAACCTTGTTATTGTGGTCAAACAATTGAACCTTGTCTATAGTAAGGTCCATGCTGACACTTGTAAAATAGCAGACAAACCGCGGTACTTGACCTTCCTATTCTGAATTATTCTTACTTTTATTTAAAAGCCACTTATGAAATATACACCGATTTTAATAATTTTTTTAAGATTTCTTCTACATTTTGTCGCTGCTTACGAAATACATCAGTAGCTTATATATTAATTTTTTTTTTTATTTCATTGTGAGTAAAAGAATAAAAAACAAATAGGACAAAGAATGTTCATGCTTGAGTTTTTCTCACTGTATAAAATTACTAATTACGCTGAATTTAATCGAAAGACGTGATTTTAAACAAATATTAAGATAATATGAGTATTTTATTGACATACGTAATTTAACCACCCATTAATGTCCACCATTATGATATTTTAATTTAATTGATAATAATATAAAGTTTGAGAAATTAAAATTCGTGGGCAAAAAGATTTGAACTATTAATTATTATTATTAATTGCTGATATTAAAATGTAATAAAATTTAATAAATTTGAAGCCTTGAAGTAGAAAAGTCGTTTGGACGAATAAGAATAAGCATATTTAGGTTGTAGATAGTAAAAAAGTGCGATGAGCTCTTTGCATTAGCTTATAGCTCTGTATGTCCAATAAGCATATTTATATTTACCATTACCACTGAAAATTGAAATGCATTATTTCTTCAGTTATCGATCATTTATATTAGCCTGCATATTTGTTTCTAGTACGCTTTACTTCTGCCCTTAAATTACGGGTTTATAGAGCTGCAATCAAAATTTTCTAGTGGGTTTGTCATCTATTTTTTAAATATTTAGTAAAAATGCTGTTTCATTGGACATGTACGCAACAGAGTTACAGGATAAAAATGATCAGCAGACATTTTTTAGAACACTCATTTTTTATTATTATTTTTTGATCTGTTGCCATTCGCAACTCTCATAAAAGTAATATGAATAGTCATGTGACATATGATGTTCCTACAGACAGCACACATTTTAATCGATCTTTAAATTTTTATTTTTTTCATCAATGAATTCTCACTTTTTAATTTTTTTCTCCAATGAAATTTCGTATTTTCGATACTGTGTTCGAACCGCATAACGAGAAAGAGGGGATTGTATACAAACCATCCCTTGAAAATTTGAAAACTGCTAAAAAAAAAAAAACATGATCCTAATCGGTTCTCCCGTTTTCGAATTATTAGCGAAGATATATCCAGACTGACTTCAGCTTTTATATATAGAGAGCAGAGACTAGAATAGCGTGATGTCGTGAAATACTTGAAAATTCAAAGGATAAATTGGGCTGGACATCTAATAAGAATGCAAGAAGATCGAAATTACCAAAAAACTAGCCAAGCAGGCTTCGATGGATTGAATGTCTTGAAAAAGACATGGATATTCTGTAAACCAAAAATTGGAGAGCAGTCACCAAACTGAAAGACTCTTGGAAAAGACATCTGTATAAGGCCAGGGCCCACCTAGGGCTATCGTGCCTCTGACGAAGAAGAAGACTAACAACACCCATGTTTACTTTATTGCTTCTTCGTCAAATAAAGCAAAACATTATGGCTGAAAAATTTATTGAGTTCAACAAACTAAACAAAATTTATTATTTTTTAATTAAAATTTTAATAAAACTTAACGATGCTGCAAACTTTATGTAGGTTTTGGCTACCCCTAGAAGGGTACCGATGATTTTTTGTCTCCAAGCTTATATAGAGCGTTCAAGATAAGTTGGCGCATCTTTTCTTATTTTGTAAATAAAATAATCAAAACAAGTTCAACTCCCTCAAATATGCTTTTCAAAGACTTTTTTTTTTCATTCTCTTATATCTTTTGAATCAACACATGCAAAGGATATGTCCAGTGCGGGGTTGAAGGAAAGGGTGTTGAGCTCCCTCCAGTTCAATGCCTGGAGCCAAGGTGAAGACAGTTATCCCCAGATGAATGATTTCGTTTCTCTTTTCTTTCTTAGTTTCGGACTTTTTACAAGCATCGCATTTTAAAAACAACTTTCACTCTATATTTTTCTATTGATTTGTTTATACATGGAGAAAGAAATACTGGTAAAATTACAGTACTGTATGGTAACGACATTTTTGGGAACAATAATTCCAGTAATGAAACTAAAATCTGCGGTATTTAAACCATTCATTTGATATTTTTTCCATATGTATATGATGACTGTTTTCCAGAAATTCTAGTTTTCAAAATTAAAGTTCTTATTACCATACATTTAGTTAAAAAAACAAAACCGAACAAATGGTTTTTTCATGATAAAATTATTAAATTTTATTACATTTACTAAATTTTAACGTATACAATAAAATGTTAATTTTACCAAAATTATTGCCAAAGCTCTTCAGTTAATCAGCAAAAATTATCGAGTTTTTGGTTTTCCCATTACACTTTTATCTAGCGCCAGAAACACTGTAAATTGTATCATATTTGGGTAAATTGTATCATATTTTACCTATACTTTTTTCTCAGTGTATTGCTCAGTAGTAAATCTAGTTAAGATTTCTAATAAATTCAAAAAACAAATAAAGTTTTTTTTTTGTTTCGTAATTTGAAAATTGTAGATGCTTTTCAGAAGCTGAAATTATTTTAAGAGTAATTGGGGTGCTTAACCGACCCTTTAATAATTATTTAATCATGAAAACGCATTCTTCACAATTCTTCCTTTTTTTAAAAATGAAACATTTATAATTTGTTTTTTTAAATTGGAGTCAAATACGTCTTTAATTTTCTAATTTTAGAACTATAACTTCTTGAAAGACATGTACGAATTCACAAAAAATCTGGTTGATTTGACCATTGATTCATATTTTTATCATTTTACTATTTATAAAAAAAAATTATTGTCATTTTTATGATGAATAGATTATTAAAATTTAAGAACATAAAAAATGACAGGAAGTCAAGTTTAGGTGTTCATGGAATATTAATAAATCCTCTCCTTGAATCTGGAAACTAAGAATAGGACTGTATGAATTAAGTATAGGTTCAAACAAAAGTTTCAATTTAGTTTTAGGAAATTTTTATTCTAGCTTGTTTTCCTGAATAGCATGTTGATACATAGGTCGATTTATTGCAAAATTGCGTGTCACCACAACGTTTAATTCTAACAAGTAACGAGATTTTTTTTTTGGAAAGATTAAGAGAAAAAAAAATAATAGAAAATCAGTAGAAAAAAAATAAATAAAATAAAATGATAGATAATATAAGGTTTTTATTTTTCAAAACGTGTTCAAAATACTTTTTATCTAAAATTAATTTTAACGGATATGTAGGAAAAAATAATTAAAAAAAATGTTTTGAATAATCCCTTTCTCAATAAACAAGGAAAATAAATGCTTGCCATGGAAAAGTCCCTTCCTTTCATCTCAATTAAAATAAAAAATAACATGTCTTCCATTAAAAAAAAACATTTTAAATAAATCCTTTTCTTAAAAAAGAAAGAAAAGAAAAACATTGCCGGGATAGCCTGGTTGGTAGATCGTTAGACTCATGTCCAGCAAGTCGTGAGTTCGACTCTTCGTCTAGTAAATGGCGACTAGTGCGCGTTAAATCTGTCGGGTCACAAACTCCTCCATATTCACATAACAAATTATGCTGAATTAGAGATTGATCGTTCTCTGGTTCAGGTCAAAGTTACGATCTTGGGACGAATAAATGGGTCTACCCTATAAACGGGCAGCGACGTGTGTGTGGCTGAGGTCGTATTCTTGGCCATAAATGGCTCCACTGATAAACAAGAAACGTACCCTATGCCTTAAATGGTTTCATCACACAGGCTTGCTGATGTTGGCAAGTGGCATTAGAAATAGCGAAGAAATACGTCCCAATAAAAGATCCTTTCCCAATAGATTTTCCCACTTTCTTGCCGATACCTTTTTTTGCGGAACCTTTTTTACCGTTTACCATTTTAATGTAAAGAATTCTTAATTGATGTAAAATTTTTATTTTCAGATGTATCTTCAGAAATATGGATACATGAATGAATCTAGTTCTAATTCAGCGTCATTAATTAGTGAAAAAGCCGTAGAAGCAGCTGTTAAAGATTTTCAGCGATTTGCAGGGATCGCTGAAAGTGGTAAGTATTAGTGCATTTTACGCATTCGACAGCAGAATTGAATTGTTGTAAAAAAATTTTATGTTTTGCAATAAAATAATTTTTTGACCATTTTAAAACGAAATAAATTTTTTTTGCTTGGAATTTACTTGAGATAAACGAGTTTTAAAATTGTAAGCAAAAATTGAATTGGATTCGCTTCAAAAATTTTAAAGATGCAGCGAAATATTAAAAAATAGTCAAATTAATAAAGTGATTCAAATTTTCGACTGTTTTCCTGACTCAACTATTGGGACCATATTTTCTGTGAATTGAGGCTACCCCCTTCCCTTTTATTAAAGGTCGAAAATTCAAAGGAGTCGTAAAAATGTATGTTTACTCAGAGAAAATACGGTTTTGTGTCTGATTTTTTTTTATTTGATTTATAGTTAACACTAATCAATTTTTGTAAACAATTTATTTTATTTAAATATTGTTTCATTTTTGAAAACCTGTTGTTTTATTTGAAAACTTAAATTTTTTTTCTCTTGTTTTATATAGTATTCTTTTACAAAATTGATTAGTTGACTTTTGAAGTACCTGGAGAAAAAACAGTAATGAAAAGCTTAATGCAGGCAGCTTTAAATGTTAAGTTGTTAACATTTAAATCGTTATTATTTAAAGCGTCAACATTGAACCCAATAATTAAACCATGAAAGATGTTTCGGAATGCATTTCTTAAGAAAATATGTTTTTTTTATCTCATGATATTATTTTTTCTAATCTATATGACATGTTATTTAGTGTTTTATTTAGAATTTTTTTTGGATTTTATATTTTAATTATGTAATTTCGATAATCTAACAAATATACAAATATTTTAGTAACTATTAGACTGTTTTTCATAATTGATTACATAAATACATATTCAAAACGGAAAAGAAAAAAAAACACGAAGAATAATAAGAAAAACAATAAGTTTTATTTAATGCGCATAAGTTGCAAGTAAATAGAACTCATAAAATAAGTTCAAAATGAACCTGGAAAAAAATTACAGAACAATGAAAAAAAAGGGGGGAAGGAAAAATGTTTTTTATTAGTAAATTTTATTATTTTTTATAAATTTTTTCCTCCTTTTTTTCGGATATTTTTTTATTTATTTTTATTTTCCTTCCCCTCCCCCTTTTTTTTCATTGTTCGGTAATTTTTCCCGTGTTGTCTCTACATTTTGAACTGATATATATATACNAAATTAAACCAAAATATATATATATAGTCTAACTTTCGAAACACGTATGATTCATTTTTTCTTCCGGTTCCTCTATTTCAAATTAATTAAATCCAACGCTTTCAGTACATGTCAAATTATTTAATTGTTATAGCATGTAACATCCTACTTCCACCTTCTGTTATTACACAATCCTTTCTTTTTTTCCACAGGTTCGTTAGACAATTCCACTCTCACCATGATGAATATGCCTCGTTGCGGTGTCCGAGACAAGGTTGGTCACAGCGACGCCGCCCGCAAGAAAAGATACGCCCTGCAAGGTAATTTTTAACACTTTTTCGGATACGGTCAGCCGACCAGTCCGTCCATCATTAAATCATTCCCACCACACTGCAAACATCCGTTTAACTTCCCTATTTGACGCAATCGCGTTAATGAATACCTATTAGTCGGAAATAGAGCTGTTCTTAGAAATACAGCTTTAAGAGGAAAGTGGTTTTTGAATAATTAATTTTTTCACTTATTGCATGTCTAGTTTATGTTATTTTTCGGCTGTACCGGCTTTCTTTTTCTTATTCGATAATGAATGTTTAATGTTTCATATATAAAAGAGAGATTAGCGACTTATTTTCATGCACATCACGTAGAAAGCTCGATTTTTGATTTGAAATTCAACTTCCCTGGAGTAGAATTTGGTGAGTAATCATCTATTTAAATGTAAATGGCCTTGTGTATTGTTGCTACCTGCAAATACTCGTATTTATGATGACTAAATCGTTGTTTTATTCATCATTAAATTTTCTAAATTTTTTACCTTTTCACTAGAAGTAAATATTTGCTTTCTGTGTGAATTATATTTTAGTTCAATAATGAGTTTGTTTTTTGTTGTTGTTTTTTATGACGTTTACACAAGCCAAGCTCGGTAGCTATTGGTCTTTAGCGAATTAATTCAGGAAGGTGCATCTTTCGTTTGACAAGAGAGCACCGCGAGGGTGAAAGTATGTCGTAGCTCAGAACTCCATGGAGAGATGGCAGCACCACTCATTCGAGGACACTTCACTTTTACTCACGTGAGTGAAGTGGCCTCGACACCTCTGTCGACGCCACTCTCTCAATTTAGACATAGAGCTGAAGAGGAAGGAAATTTTCTCCAGATTTTTATGCCTGTGACACTGCTCAGCAATGGTACTTCCGATTCAACAGCCTTTACAAGCACCTGTATCGCCTGTACTCGATGGGTCTTAGTGGCATCGAACCCTGGTCCATTCGGTCCAGAATCTGATTATAAATACCCGGAATTTTAATAATAAAATTCTATATCATTAAAATTTAAACATTCTTTTTATTTAAAAGTGCCAATATTATGTTGTAAAATTATAAAGTTTCTGCTTCATAATAATTTTCCTTTACATTAAATAAAAAATATAAATTGTTGATTCAAGTATTTTTTTTTTAAAAAATTAAATTGGCTTTTTAATTTGATGCATATTTTCAAATTAAACCAAAAATGATAATAAAATTTTTGCATAAATCATAAATTCATATATAATTTTTGGAACTATGAAATGCATTAATTAAGTAAGATTAAATATTATTTCATTTCAGCTTCACAAGAACAAAAAACACGAAGAAAAAAAATGCTGAAAATTAGAAACAAATGCTGAGAATTAGAAAAAAAAAGTCGTCTTTCTACGTCCTAACCTTCCACGTAACAATATGAAAATCGTGCAACGGAAATCCTTTTCGTTGCTTTATCTTGTTTGTTATTCCAACCGCTAATTAACTTTTCCTTCCCGAACATGATTTACTTACATTCGAATATTATCTTTACCATTCGAATAAGTTTGTAGGGAACATCCCCTTTTTAAGGGATGTTCCCTTTTCTTTCTTTGCTTCAGAAGTAAACAAATCTCACTTAGAAATTTCTCGGTAAAAATGCTTAAATAGCAATTCTTTAATTCAACCAAAACAATCAAATAACCATAAAAAGAGGATATTCAAAACTGTTAAGTTTGAAAAAAAATCATTTATGACTGTTTTTATCGGCGCCAAATAGACCCAACTTAAAAGGCATTTTGTTCCCTGCGACTCTTTACATATTGTAGCTGAGAGTAATCGGTCAATTTCATGACCGACTTAACAGGGACTCTTTTTCCAGCATTGATACTACAATATTTCTTCCATTCTTTCAATAGTTGAAAAGTTTCTAGTGTCCTGCACTTTTCAATCGGTGATCCTAGACTATTGGAATACAAAACTATCATTCACGCATAAATGGTGCAGCGCCCACACAGTTCCAATGTCCGCTTAAGTTTTATTTTTATGGTTTAGAAAATATGCTAGCTATAAATGGTTCAAAACAGTATATTTTTGCTTTCGCAGGATTTTAACTACACCAGTTGTAAACAATGTCAAAACCGTAAAAGTAAATAAATGTTCCTAACCACGAATTTAATGGTTCATCAGATGGACAGACTGCTGCCGATTATTTTACCCTAATTTCAGGATGAAAATTCTAATAGTGTCGAAGGTTAAGAGCTGAATTTAAAAGTATATATTCCTAATATCAAATGGGAACTGATTCTTGAGTATTTTTTAGAATCTGGATTTGGGTACAAATGGAAGCTCAGCTGTACTCTTAAAAAATGCAGCACATTTTCTTTTAAAAGCACATTACGATTTAAATGAATGATTTTTCAGTTTTATATTCTCCTCTACTGAGTCTGGAAACCGATTTGGAAAAAAAAAGGAAATTCCAAAATTAAGTTTTCTTTATGAGTAAAACTTACCCTTACGCCACAAAGAGTTTTCGCACCTCGAGCCACAAAAACATTCCACGGTTAGCCTGGCTGAAATGGGACCATAGCCCATGAATCATTCTATTTCTGGTGGTGTTTGACGTAATACTTGTGGGCTAGTTAATTAGCAGCTTAAATCATTTTGAGAAATATTTAAAATAATGGTTAACGAAAATTACATCATTATGAAAGACAAACACATATTGTTAGTTGAATTATATGATATTTTTGTTTAATTTTTTCCGGGTATTGGCTAAATGATTGATAATCATATCAGTCTCATCTTTCTGGTTAGTTCTTCTACCGCAGTTGAGTGTCTTGAATCGTGCAATAGGTCAAACCACAATACCAAAACATTAATCTCTGCATCTTAATTTACACGTAGTCATATAATTACTACAATTTTCTGAAGTGCTTCTTCTCAGAATCCTAATATGTTGTTATTAAGAAAAGTTTTTTTTATTAGGTCTCGCTTTAAGCACCTTACCAAATGCGATAAAATCGTAAATTTGTTGAATAAAATAATGTTTTGTCGAATGATTTTTCTTACTGGAAAGAAAAATATGTATTTAACTCGATCCTCGAGATTACGTCAAAATGAATTTTTCTAAACAAATCAGTATTTTTTATTCGATTACAATAATTTTGGTAGTTGCGCCGCACAACCAATTAGAATTGGGTCCAAATAATATAAGCCTGAAATAAACTACGGTAAAATAGTTTTCTATGGAGAAAAAAAGCAATCATAAAATTTTTTTAAGATTTGCAGACTTTCAAAAATTGACGAATACTAGTGATATTTTGCTAATTTATTGGCTAATAATTTGCAATCCTTAGCGCGATGACCAACGCTTTAAGGCTTCGAAATTATATTCAAGCCACTTCAAATTAGCCACGCTTGAGTGAAACAATAAGCTTATTCATTAAGCAACAACATGGGCATCAGTGATAATAGGAAAAGTATACAAACTATAAAGTGATCTGCACGTATGTCGGTAGTCCTGAAAACCTACAGCAGCTGACAAAATGTGTTCAATAGACCACGAAATCCTCTTGCACGAGATAGAAACTGAATCATTTCTAGAAGGTCATGTTTATTTTTCATCCAGCACGTGTTGAACTAAATATAGGATTGTATAAATTATTGCTAGCGTAATATGAACCATTATATGTATATAACACGTTCATGTTTGGAACTTTTATATACTTTTTATGAGGATATAAAACTAGCAAGATTTTTACAAGATAAATTCGAGTAAATAGCTACTGGTGGTTCACCTTGGATCACAATTTCGTATTACATATATTAAAAGTATCAACTTGATTAGGGTATCTTTCTTGTAAGTGCGGCAATATTGGGAAGGTATTAATGAAGATAATGCTATTTTAACTCTTTGAGGTCGTGTGTTTGATCTGAGCGATCACTAAAAAGAGTTATAACTTATAGAGTATAAAAATACTGTTCATTTTAGTCCAGTGCTTCCCAAACTTTTGTGTACCCTTTCTAAATTTTTCGTAACGCTGTGTACTACTAATAAAAAAATGAATGTATTTTTCACTATAAAAAAATTGCACAAAAGTTAAAAATCACAACTGGTTGTTGAAACCACTTATTTTTAACTGTTAACTCTGCAAAAAATAGTCAACAGAAAAATACGGAATCGTAAATTTTCATGGCTAGCTTTGTTCTTAAATAAATTTATTTGAAATTTTCGCTGGTTGCAAGATATATTTTGCATAAGAACGTGAACCCCCGCTAAACTGTTCCCGTACCCCTGGGGGTACGTGCACCACACTTTAGGAAACACTGCTTTAGTCGATGAACTTTAGATATCTCTAAAATTCAAAATGATTCTTTGCAATTTGTGTTTAAGAATAATAGCTTTTTTCCCTCATAAATTATTATTAATTCTTCTAATGAATTCTTTCTTATTAATCCAGATCAGCATGTCAAACATCAAGGTTATAACGACCATCATCTTTCAATCAGAAATCATCATATAATCAGAGACTTGAGACGGCCTCAGAGGTTTAAACATTATTTTTGCAGCAATTTATGTCTTTAAAAAGTCGCTGTTTATAATATATAATTTCTGCATTTCTAAATAAATTTTAAAGGGAGGAAAATGTGTTTTAAAGTGACTGGAATTCAGTTTCTTGTTATGATCTCATAATGCATAATCAATATACAACGAAGTGAACATATGATGTGTTAAAGAAATCATCAATTCATTTGTTGCAGGAAGCAAATGGCGTGTGACTGATCTTAGCTATCGAATCAGCAAGTATCCTCGAAGATTGAAGGACAGGCAGAAAGTAGACAAAGAGATTGCTAAGGCATTCAAGGTAATTTCCTTTTAATTTAAGATGATGAAGATATTTTATAATGAAGTTTGACTGAATAAAATGATATTTTTTTCATGCAATTAAGCCATGCAAATTGTTTATATCATGGTTGGAAACAGCCTTAAAAGTAAAAGTTTTTTTTTTATGACTTTATTAAAGTTGTATAATTTCTTTTTTTATTTTTAAAATTTAAATTTTAAGCTAAAATTGTACGCTTTTTAATAGTTATTTTACGCAAGTATGATAATCACAATGCTGAAAGCTTAATTATAAAGAAAAAAAATTACGATTTTATTTATCATTTATTAATCGTTTCTTTTTTTTTCGTAAAAGTTAATAAGTGCACAAGACTTTATTTAAATAAATTTATTGTAAGAAATTTAGCATTTTATTTCATAATTAATTTTTCACTCCATTATTGTTTATGAATAAAACATTATATAAATGTAAAATTAATTATAATAATTTCTACCTTGAATTATATCATAAATTATGAAATGTTTCTAAGACAGTAATTGTTCAGTCTATTGCATTTGAGTTTTTAATAGAAAAATTGTAATTTTTAATTGGAAAACATCGAGTTGTAAAAATACTAAAATTTTATTTACATTTAATATTTGTCTATCTTAACCATTGTTAGAAATGTTTGTATCTAATAGTTAGCGTTTGCTCATGCTATGCTCATAAAGCAGTTGTCTTAAAAGCATTAAATGCTAAATTATGCGCGTCAATTATTTTATTATCGATTATAAATAATCTTCGAATCAGTTAATTTCTTTAATTAAATAAGTTTAATCGACATTGACGATTGTAAAAGTAAAGCAGATTGTATCATGCAGAAACTTTTTTTTAAAAGTAAGGAATGCATCTTAGGAAAAATGCTAAAATAAAACACTATTTTAGTATTGAATAAATATTCACTTTATATTAAAAGTATATAATATACTGCATTTTAAATTATTCTGTTTAGACGAGAAATAATTATTTTTTAAAAAAATATGCAACCTTCAAATCATATTGCTTGTTAAGTTTGATCTTCATAAAAAATGACTCTAGCAAAGTGAAGAATAATAAATCAAAGAAAAAAAACATCTTTAAAATCTAGGGAAAATGTGTAATAGAATTGATAAAATAAAATATACATTTTTATTTTAATTATTACACTCTTTATATAAAAAAGAAATGATCTATCTTACCTGAAATCATTCTGCCTAGGTGAGAAATAAGTTTTTAAAAGTAACTGTGCAACCTTCAAATAAGCTAATTTGTTTAGTAAACAAAAGTGAAATGAATGAAATCACAAAAAAATATCTTTGAAATGCAAGAAAAATTATCTATATCATATATTTTAATCCATTATCATTTTTCCATATAAATCAAAAATAAATGATAAATTTCGTTTTATATTACTGCATGCATGTGAGAAAAATTATAAGAAAACATCCATGATTGATTAAAATAAATAAATTATTAAAATAAAATTATAATCTTTAATTTGATTCGGGAATGGTCTGTTTACATTTTCTGTCTCCTCGCTTCGTTTAGCAGACCTAAGGGAAGATTAAAACATAATTCTAAATCCTTCGAATTATGACATTAACAATGTAAAAGACTAGAGTCACTGGGTAAGCGATTAGGAAAATGTTTCCTGCCTAACAGTAATGGATAGACAACATAAAGAAGCTCACTTTCTCCTCTTTAGATGAAGGTCATGGGTTTGATTCCCCCCTCTTTATTTCTTTTTCTCTATTTTAAGTTAGTTGGAAAACAAGCACTCAATTCTTAAGTACCGCTTATTATGTTTAATCTGAGTGAGCCAAACACTATTGTGGTTTCATATCTCTGATAATTGCTGTTTATTTTGGGTGATAGTGCATGCATTATTGATTACATTTAAAGATTGATTTTAAACGTAACATTTCTTATTGTCTATCGATAATCAACGTATCGGCTAATTTTTAGAATTAATTTTTTTTTTTTTTTGTTATTATTTTTTTATAAGTCATATTTTCGATGAAAGAATGATTACTTAGCATCAGTAAAAACTAAACTGCTTTTCTTAAAATATCTTCGGAAAATCGTACTTTTCACTACTTGTTTGTGGATTTTTTTTATTATTATGTTTTTTCGGCAGTTTCTTAATTAATTAATAAAAAAATATAAACAATAAAAAATAAATCTTCTTTACTTGGACTATAGTTGAATGAATAGTACTGCAAGAGATTTTTTTTCGTTTGTACCAGTTGTTTTGATTTTTTTTCGTTTGTCTTGAGTTGCTAAAAAATTTACAGGGTTGCTAAAAAATTTAGCAATTTTGATATTTCTTTAGCTTGTAATTATTTTACAATTACCAAACATTTTTACAAAATGAATCTGAAAATAGATTTAAGAAAAATACAGATAATGCACCCTTCCAATTAATACATAATCCTCACAAATGTGCTGTCAGAAGTAAGTGTATTTTCTCAGTAAGACCTTCCCATTGGTTATACTTAATACACAGACTATACATAATACTTGAATTTACCCAAGTAAACTGTCAGTTTCACTGACGCGTGTGTCGGACTTGCGCAATACTTATGGGCATGGCGTGGTGGCTCTGGGGATAGAGATTGCTTTCCAATGAGGTGATCGGGTTCGAATCCCAACGATGGCAGGTCGATACGAATTCCGCACCCGGTTCGTATTGACCACAGTACTGGCGTAAAAGATCCTCAGTGGGCTAGAGTCCCCTTGCCGTCGGGGGACCGGAAACCGTGAAAGATTATCGATTTTCCTCTCCATGTAAAGCAAATGTGGGTTAGTTCCATCAAAAAAGTCCTCCACAGAGACAAATTTCTCCCAATACTTGATCCAGAAGTTCCCTTGTCTTCTGAATTAGGTTCAAAGTTGCAGGGCCACGGAGTTAAACATTAGAAGTCGTAAACCCAAAAATTGTGTACTTTAAAATACCGTCTTCACTAATTAATTAACATATATGAGCTCAACTCCTCGAACCATTAAGAGTGAATACTAGAGCGTGAAGATTCGATAATTAGATCAATAGTTGTTCTGGATGATCTGTGTTTTTTTCGCTCTATACATCTACTAATAAAAATAAACGGTTTTTAAAATGTCTCTATAGTGCTTTTTCTTAATATAACTTAACCAGGGTGTATTTGAGAAAAAATACCCCTGTATACGCTGAGTGTTTATAGCATAGTATATAGCTAACAGTTATAGAACAGTTCGGTTATAAAGCAAAACAGTTATACAATACAGTTATACAACAGTTAAAGAGACATTTGCGTCTGTTAAAGGACTGTTTAAGTTATTTAATCATAAAAACGGATCCTTTGCAATATTTTCCATATCCATTCTATAAATACTTCTTACGAAAAACAAAATCAGTGAAGTCTTTAATACGTGATTTTAAAACTACAACTCTTTGAAAGTCGTGATTTTTGAGTTTAGGACACAGGATTTTCATTTCACATATTCACCAAAACAAGACTATAGCACAAGAAGCTTGATTCGACAGTAATTATAAATTCAGAAAATAACAAGCAGAATTTTTTCAAAACAAGAACCTCGTTATCACAAATTCTCAAAATGATCAGTATAATTTTCACAAACAAGGTCTGGTACAAAAAAATCTGGAATGCTAACTACTTTTATTCGAGAGCCTTACGTTGTTTTCTGCTTTGATACTTGCATAAGAATAACTATCTTATCTTTAGCGCAAATAAAGTTTTTATATTCTCATTTACCTACATCTTAACATCTTTTTGTTCTATACAAAGATAATTTTTTTTCAGGTGTGGAGTGATGTCACTAACCTTAATTTTATTAATACTGACAAAGGGAGAGTACATATCGATGTGAGATTCGAAGAAGGTGAACATGGCGATGGTGAACGTTTTGATGGACCAGGCAGGACACTGGCGCATGCTTTTTTTCCACAATATGGTGGCGATGCTCATTTTGACGATGAAGAAAAATGGACTATCAATCAATTTCATGGTAATTGGTGTTGTTATAGGTTTCTCTTCAAATACAGGATGTTCCGTTCTCACTAATATAATAGTCATTTGTAGAAAATTGAAAGTTACTCAAAGGTTTTGCAGATTGATATATTTAAGGATTTTTTTCGAAGGCTCTGTCATCACATGAAATAACGATCTTTTTTGTTGATAATATGCTAATTTTCTAACAGCTGGGAGTTAGCAAAGTTTTTTAATGACTAATATGCTAATTTTCTAACTGCTGTGATTTTCAACGCTTTTTTAAGAATAATGTGCTAATTTTCTAACCGCTTTAAATTAGCAACGCCTTTTTTTGCGAATAATATGCTAATTTTCTAACCGCTGAGATTTGGCAACGCTATTTTGTGATTAATGTGTTAATTTTCTAACTGTTGTAAGTTGGCAACGCGTTTTTGAGATTAATATGCTAATTTTCCAACTGTTGTGAGCTGGCAAACCCTTTTATTTAATAATATGTTAATTTTCTAACTGTTGTAAGCTGGCAATGCGTTTTTGATAATAATATGATAATTTTTCTAACAGTTGTAAGCTGGCAACGCGTTTTTGATAATAATATGCTAATTTTCTAACTGTTGTGAGTTGGGAACAATTAATTATTCATGTCTTTTAGATCAAGTTCAGCGCCTATCTTTAGTAGCGCCTATCTTTAGTCAGCGGAAAAGTCACAGTTTCGCAGAAATTAAAATCATATGTAATCTAATTTTTTTAATTTTTGAAAAGTTACTCCAACGCTGCATTATCTGAACACATGAAAGGGCGAATGATGGCGAATACAATTTTTTATTTACATTTTTTTATTTATTACTATTACAATTTTTTATTTATTTTTTGAATAAGATTTTTTTTAACGGATCTTGGATATTTTTAAGTCTATCATTTCAAATATGCAATCAGTTTCTCTCTCCGAATTACTTTTTTTTTTCCTAAATGACATTTTAAGTATATTTAATTTACCAGTCGGTAGTCTTTTCTTTAAACATATGCATACAAAACATTCATGCAAAATTTCAAGTAATTCGAACTAAAATATTTTGTGATATTGCATTTAAAGGGAAGGAAAATAACCGAAAAATTAATTTAGAAGTAAATGGACAAAAAAAAACCACAATGGGATAACTGCAAGTGATGTAGTGTGGTAAATATATAGCATGTCTCTTTTGAACTGTTGCTAATTTCAAAGTTTTCATTTGTTTAAAATCTTGTAATCAGTTATCATAAAGCTGCTAATTTTTGTTTAAGTTTCAAAACTCTAGCCTCAATATGATTTGTAATAAAATAATCAACGAAACCTTCTATTTTCCCTGTTTAATATTTAGTATTTTTAAATATAGTGTTGTTGGTAATATGATGCTAGTTTTAAAAGTACAGATTCCATTTATTTATTATATAACTGTGCTTGAGTTATAAACTAGACTTTGTCTCCTTTTATTTTGAAAAAGAAAATGATGTGAATTGCAGGTTGCTATGCCTTTATGATGGAACAACTCGTGTAAATGAAAGTATTATTTTTTTCTTTTGTAAAATGGAATCAGAATTTTTATTTTAATTAACTAAAGTAGAGAAAGACAGAATATCGAACTTTTTAATAGACTCTCACAACTGGTAGGTATTTACTTTTAAAGACATATTAAAATGTAGATGATAAACAAATACACTTTTAATATTGTTTTTGTAAGTTAATATATAACTTCACTACTATAAGTGGTTTCTATATTTGAATAACATAAATCTTCGAGTATTTTTTTAAAAATTTGAATCTACTGAATTAATTATTTGTTGTAACACCATTGCAAGTGACATAATTGTTTTACCTAATTATTTTGTAGGTACAAACCTATTTCAAGTTGCAGCTCATGAGTTCGGTCACTCTTTGGGTCTTTCTCATTCTGACGTTAAAGCATCTCTGATGGCGCCATTTTATCGTGGATACGAACCTTCTTTTAATCTTGATGAAGATGATATTTTGGGCATTCAAGCTTTGTATGGTACGTAATATTTTATGTAAAAATATTTGTACAATTTGAACAAAAATTGAAATATCGAATATTGTCTTTAATTCACGTCAGATAATTTGACGCTTAAATGTGTGATATGCTTTTTATAAATTTTTCCAGGATGAATACTTTCAACTGAAGGTATATGGATAATAACAATAAATAAATGCTAAGAATACTAAAATAATCTTAAATAAATTAAGAATAATTATAAAAGAATTATTCTTCTTTTTGAAAAAGTTTGCCAAAATACATTTCAGGAATTTCCGCAAAATAGTTTTTCTATTCTATCGTACATTTAATACTGTATATGGTATGCTTTTCACAAAAGGAAAATAAATATCCTTAAATTTTTAATTTATTTTTTTCCAGTCAGAGCTTTTTATATTGGGTATAAAGATTTAAATTTACATGAAGATCAAGGAGAAAGAACGGTTTACATTCATGAAAGCAAATTCTAAGAAAAAAAGACTAAAGCGTGAGGACAGGAACTGATTTTCCATTGAATGACCCATCTTTACTGTGTAATAACTCTCGGGAATAGCCATTTTTAAACGTTATTGATTTTTAAATTATAGTAATCTTAAAAATGAACAGCTGATAATTCAATTGTCATTTATGTAAAAAATAAGCAAAAACCATCTGTCTCCCTTGATTTTCATATGAAAAATACAAGTTAAATTAAACATGATTTTTATTCACTTTGACTCGGAAATATTAGATATCGATAAAAATACAAAGTACACTCATAGTATATTTACGTATATCGTACACCAATTTGAAAATCCGAGGTTTTGCTTACTGCCAACGTCACTTTGCAATGCACCTAAGTTTATTGCAATAAGTATAGCAAATGACATCTGCATTTTGCAAAGAGCCAGATTTTCCAATTAGTTCACAACATATACATCAACACTGAGCGAGATTTAATATGATCTGCTCATAGTTCTATACGAATGAACCGAAACAGAGTCCGATGTTTACCAGTTTTAATAAATCGAGATGTTAACCTAATATTTTAACATCTTTAAAGAGTGTAAACGTTAAATTTTATTCTATATTTTAATTAAAATGTGACTTTTTAAAGTTACGTTAATTTCTTTGCCACGAATAAAAGAAATATAAAAAATAAACACGAATAGAAAATACAATTTTGAATTCGTAATCTATTGACTAGCTCTAAAAACTTACTGAGAAGAATCTTATACGTTCTGTATAAAGTAAAGCACTCCAAAAACAGCCACTAAATCTGAAAATGAGGATTCTGGAAGCATGATATCGGCAATAGTCGTCGGCATTGCGTACCGACCGCCTTTTACTTACTTTGCTGGTAGCCATCGATTTTAAGGTGGGTGGACTTCGAATCAGCACGGGAGAAGAACTCCAGTTCTTTGCAATGATAACTCAGTGTCTTAATTCAAAGATTCCCAAAATTTTTCGGAACCTTAAATAAACGACGTTCTCTTAACGGAACTCCAGCATTATAGGGTAAAAGAACAGATAAGAATACCAATAATTCTGAAAATATTTTCTGCGATGAATAAAATATTTAATATTATCAATATATTCTTGATGTATGCATATGCTCACAAAAATAAGTTTTCATAAAAACACTGTTATAATATTTATCAGATAGAGCTTCGCGCTCCCGTGCCGCAGGTCCTGGTTTCGATCCTCAGGCCGGGCAAGGTTGACTCAGCCTTTCATCCCTTCAGTGGGTCGATAAATGAGTACCAAGCATGCTTGGGAACTAAACACTGGGCAGTTCCGCTTTCGACTGGGAACATCTGCTCCAGCACTCCAGAGGCCAAAGTCAAGAAAACTGAAATGGGCACAGTAGGCTTTGGCCCTTTATGGGCTGTCGCGCCACTGAGTTTAGTTTTGTTTAATATATATCAGAACTGATAGTCATTTTATTTTAAATTGAACAGCTCGAAGCGAAATAATTATGGAATTTTAATAAATTCATAACATTCTTTTTATAATTTATTCAAACGATTATTATTGAAAAACATTTTGTTTTATTTTAAATTTTTCTACTTTATTTCAATTGCATTTATCAATGGAAGTTTATGTAAACAAATAAAATATTAAATAAATTATGAATTATTGTCTGGATACAGATATAGTTATTACTCGTTTAAAAAAAATCCTAACTCTCGGAACTCTTGTCATTCATCCACAGAACCCTAGGGTTCCGCGGAACACTTTCGGAAACAGCTGCTTTAATTATTCTACCATCGCGGCTTACGTATCAGACATAAGCTTTATATAATTTAGAAGTCATCCAGAAAAGTGTGCGAAAAGTTCACATATTTATATTTCTGCTTTACTTCATATTTTTGCCATATTTATTATTATTTTTTGCAACATTTTTTAGTTGCTAATAATAATATTTACAGGTCGTCCAAGAAAGGAATCTGCAGCTCCTACTCCTCCTGGAACCAAACCACGGAATAAAACTCCAGATATAGGTGATTCTCCAGACTTATGTCAAGATTCTACTATTGATGCAGCTACCAAAACAGAGGATGGAAGGACCTATGTTTTTAGAGGTTAGAGTTGGTCGAATCATTCTTTCATTTAGCATTATTGGCAAACTCATTTTCCCAACAACACGTAACATTACCAATTAACACATATTTTCTGACTTTTTTTATACTTAAAAATTTTAAACTTCAGTTAGATTTTTTTTTAAAATTTAAAATTGAGTGCATATTGTTTGCAGGAAATTATTACTGGGAGATTTCAGAATCTGGAATATCTGATGGCTACCCGAGAAAGGTTTCAGACGATTGGGATGGTCTACCAGGAGATTTAGATGCCGCTTTGACATGGACCAATGGAAAAACATTCTTCTTCAAAGTAAGAAGCTGAACGATTTATTTGTTGTGAAATTAGGAATTTTCATTTGTGCATTTATTAAACTTAAGAATGCGTGGTCTTTTTGTCATGTTGTTTTTTTATAACATGAAAAAAGACTGGTCTAAACCCCTTTCTCATTGTTGCGACTGTATTCTTATTTCTTATTGGCCGAAAGTATCATGTGCAAGAATCCTTAACCCTTTGACGAAGATGGGGCTTCGGTGTCCTTTTTATATATTTTTGATTCTCTAATTACAAGCAAAAATATATTTTGGGATTTTTTTAATTATGAAAAACAGTTTAATCGTAAGTTTAAAAAAAATCTGTTTGATTGTCGGAATTATATTTGTACTAAAATATAAAATCCAAAAAATAGTAGTTTGGAAAATTATTTTTTCTATTGATATTCAAAAATTTATCAATTATTATTTCGTAAGTTAAAGAAATTTCAACAATGAATAATTGTTTCTCTTAGTTCTAAATAACTGCAACATAGTGCAAATGTTTAAAAATTATTGTTTGTAAGTGATCCTTGTTTGGAAGATTTGACCTCTAACGCAAAAACAGACACCGGTGTTTCATGCTGTATTTCATAACAGTAAATTATCAAAACGCTAAATACAATATTTTTCACCTGTTTTGGCCTAAATTAATGAAAAAAGGTGTTTGTAAAAGTATGAAAAAGCATGAGACATATTTCATCAAGACCGAAATTAACACCAAATTATAATAAAAGAAAAGAATAAAAAATATGTTTAATAAAATTTCTGCGTCAACGGGTTAATCAAAGAATATCTGGAATACCTTTGGCTGTCCTCAATAAATAAAATTTATAACGATATTTACCTGTAATTTATTTATTTATCCATTATTAAGTGTAACATTGTTCGGAGCTAAACATACTGTCGCACGTTTCTAAATATTGTTAGGTACATTATAATTTATTTCTAAACCTATTTTTCTGACAGAGTAACCTTTAGGTATTGGTCACTCTTTGAGATTACTTAATCTTTTTAATAGTCTGTACAGACATTTCATTAAGACTTGGTTTCTGTAAAATTGTGAAAAATTTACTCATAATTTTTGTGAATCTAATTTTAGTTTTGGATAAAAGCAATTTGTTTGAAAGAGGGATTTTTTTGATTTTGATGTGTCCGTTTTCAAAAGGTGAAATATTGTATATTTTTAAGATATAAAATTTTTTTAAAGTCAATTAGCGTACCGAAATTTCACCTAATTAAACCCTTGCTTATAAGCAATGAAATAAAAGCGGCATTGATAGTTGTGTTATGCTAGATCTTGCTATTACTAGATCTATGGCCATATCTGTATCTATGTTATAAGAAATTAATATTATTGTATACAAAAAACGAAAAAGAATTTCAAGTTTAAGAATATTTTTATAGCTATATTCGATATTATATATTTTTAAAAAAGATGAATTTGAAACAAAATACATTAAGTAAGAAATATGCATTATCAAAATTTTTTAAAAAAATAAAAGAGCTAATTTCTATTATTTTACATAAAAGGCTATTTTCTATTTTACAAATGCATTATAATTATTAACCATCGGACTTCATTTTTATGGATACCAGCTTATCTGGGAAGTAAAGGCGGTCAGTGCTCAATGCTGACCACTTTGACACAATCCTACCGTGTGTCACGAAACTGTGGTGCCCCAAACCCATGAACCTCTTGCTCCCAAAGACAAAATGTTGCGGTAATGCATTACTTCATAAAAAATAACATAATGACAGGGCACTATTCATTTTAAAAAAAATTTAACATACAGCTACTGTATTTCTCATTGTCTTTCCAGCGTTTAACGTTTATTTAAAATTATTAAATAATAGTCTTAGAAATATTTTAACGTAATAATTTTCTAAAGGTTTATTAAGAATTCAGTATGTATTCTAGCACTTGCAATTATCGGCATGTGTTGGACAACAACCATAAACTTTCTTTTTGTTCTGGGGAGCCATTATAATTCTCTTATGATCTAATTCTTGCTCTGGCTCCTCTCCAAGACACATGATCCTTTTCGTTTCTCTTGCTCAAAATAAATGAACAGTTTTTTTTTCTTTTCTGTTTGTTTCTGATGAATTTGTACTTCTATGAATCGTTATTCAGAGCATATCTGTTCTATTTTTAGAAACACCAATACTGGAGATTCAAAAACAAAAACATGGACTCTGGATACCCAAAGGAAATTTCTGTTGGCTTCGAAGGTATTCCCGATAATATTGATGCCGCATTTGTTTGGAGTGGTAACGGGAAGACCTATTTTCTCAAAGGTCAGTAGCTTTTGTTTGTTTTGAAATCATTTATCTCGGGACTGGATTTTTATCGCTCATTCAATCATTTGAAGAATTCTTTTACATAAGTTTCTATCTTTAACCCTCTGAGAGTCAGCGTCCAATATGCTAGACCAGAGTGCATTTCAAGTGGCGTAAATAACACAGTGCGGGGGGATCTCACTCGTCCAAAAAAATAATACTATAAGTTAAAATAAAAAAAAAATTAAAGAAAGTATCGAAAAAGAGTAATACTATAAGTTAAAATAAAAAAAAAGTTTCGAAAATAAATAATACTATAAGTTAAAATAATAAAAAAATAAAAAAAGTATCGGAAAAAAATAATACTATAAGTTAAATTAAAAAAATTAAGAAAAAGTATCGAAAAAAATAATAATACTATAAGTTAAAATAAAAATGAAAATAAATAAATGAGGTATCGTAAAAGAATAATATTATATGTTAAAATAAAAAAAAAATTAAAAAAAGTATCAATAAAAAATAATACTGTAAGTTAAAATCAACAGTGCTGACGTGAAATAGCCTCAGTGGTGGAGGAATCATGGGTTAGAGTCCCCATGGCGTCAGGTTAACCGTGGGAGGTTCTCGTGGTCTTCCTCTCCATGTAACGCAAATGCAGGTTAGTTCGATCAAAAAGTCTTCCACGAAGGCAAAATTTCTCCCAATACTTAATCCAGGAGTTCCCTTGTCTTCTGGATAGGGGTCTGGAACCCTATCAAAATTACAAGGCTACAGAGTTGAACATTAGTAGTCGTAAACCCAAAAATTGGGTCGGCTGCTCAACGACGGTTATGAAATTAAGTATAAGTTAAATCAACATATTTTTTACTTATAAAAATATTTTTCATTCGCTTTATGAATAAAAAATAACCCTTAACTTCAGGGGATAGAGTGCCCACCTCCCAATGAGGTGACCTCGGTTCGAATCCCAGCTTTGGTTGTTGATACGAATTATGCTCAAGGTTTGCACAGACCACAGTGCTGACGTATGTCCTCAGTGGTAGATGGATCAAAGAATCAAGTCCCTTTGCGGTAGAGCTAACCACGGGAGTTTTTCGGGGTTTTCTCACTATGTAGCGCAAATGTGGATTAAGTAAATCTAAAAGTTCTCCACGAATGCTAGTTTGCTTTAATGCTTGATCCAGGAGTTAACCTTGTCTTCTGGGTTGGGTTTGACTTTACAAGTCTACGGAATTGAACGTTGAAAGTTGTAAACTCAGAATTGGATCGGCTGTTTAGCGCAGGTTATAAAATAAAACATAAAATAACACTTAACTGATCTTTGAGCATATTTAAAATAAAATAGTGAATAATTTTCTGCTATTACTATTTAAAAAAAATAATTTAAATCAGGTAAGTGTATATGATGTTTCAATTTAATACTTTACTTCTACCCTTCCATCGAAATTACTATTTTTTCTGTTTGTAAGCTTTTATATAGCGCTTGCCAAGGAAACAAACAAACTTTACTATCGTATTTTACTATATTTTACTATCGTTGTTCGTAGACTTTATTTACATTGAAAAATTTGTAGAACGGTGAGAAATTCAGTTCAAGTACTTTTTGGACAGTTTTGAAGCAAATAAATATTTTATTATATGAATCTAGTAAAATTTGAAAAGTACTTCATGTAGAAATCATGAAAAGTACTTCATTTAAAAAAAACATTCAATAATATACAAAAAATTTTAAAAATTTAAATTTATTATTTTTTATGTAATAATTAAAAAAAGTTAAATAAGTTTAATTGAATTTTTCTTAAAAATTTTTTTATCTCATATTACGAGTTTACTTTGTTCTTCACTGCATACTTCTTAGTAAAAATCAAATTTTCTGATTGTCTGTTCTTCATGCAGGGATACAAAAAAAATCATAAGCAATCAATGAATTGTAATTAATTAAATGTTTTCAGAATTATATTTAGCATCACCGAAAGTGATGCTATTGATCTTGACCAACAGATGATGGTCAAGTTTTACCTAAGTCAAGCAATTTTCCCGATGAATTATCACTTAAGTAGGAAACTTAATTTTTAATTTTTGTTGATTTTAATTTAGGTTTATCGAAACGCGCTGTAAGAGTCTAGCCATAAAAAAAAATTAATAACCACGTGGTTTCGGATAGTTTTCAATTTGCTAATGCAGTGATATCACCGTCCCCCTCCCCCGATTTTCTATCTAATTTTATTTAAACATACATGGCATAAAAAAATCGGATTTAAATTATTAATAAAAAATTTCCAATAAAAAAAAGCTGGATTAACTCTTAATGTAACTCCTTTTTGATTATAGCAGAGCCGTAAGCTAGCAACGTGTCACAACGTGTAATAATTATATGACAAAAATTCATTTTCAACACTTTTCGTGTAAACAGATGAATGAAAAATATTAAAGATTTTCTGATTGGAAATTAAAAATGCCTCTTGCACCTGCTGTCTAGAATTTAGAACCTTGTTACAAACGATTGAAATAAATAAAAAATACTTGCAAGCACTTTTTTTTTAAATATAGATATGTGAAATTAAAAATTAATATATTACCTTATTTCCTGGTGTTTATTGTTAACTTTTTTTGGGATTAAAGCGTACCAATAACGGAAGTTGAAAATAAATAGTTTTACTACTTGTTTTCAAAAATGGCACTGAAAAGAACTTAGTTTCTGTGCAGAAAGTTTCCTAATCACCGCTCTTAGTACATACTTTTTGAATCCTTGTCAAAAATGAAGTAAAAAATTCTATCGCAAGTTAATATTTAGGCGAGAAAAAAACATAAGAGAGTTATCATAATTCATCAAATCCTAATGATGAAGATGCGATTAAAATCATCAAAACTAGTTTGATTCCCTGATAAAACCTGGAGATCTTTCTACTCTTTTCAGACGGCAATCAAACAAGTTTCGATACTTCTAATACCGCCTTCTTCAGTAGTGATTCGACAGATTTCGATAACATTCTGATTTAGTTTTTTCTTTAGGATTTCAATTTTCTTAGAAACAAACAAAATTCGTTTATTGAAATTAAAACATGAGTTTATATTGTTTGTTTTTCAATTTTTACAGGAAGGAACTACTGGCGATTCGACAGCAGGAATGAGCCACCTGTCAGTTCTCGATATCCCCAACCAATCAGCACTTGGGAAGGCCTTCCGCCAAACATTAATGCCGCTCTTCAATGGGTCAACCAAAAAACATATTTCTTTAAAGGCCGAGAATACTACAGGTTCAATGACAGATCGTTCTCGGTAAGTTTCTTAAGATTTTAACTTTGCAAATTTTAGATTTTAAAAGCCATTGCAATGCTATATGGGCTGCAATGTTAAGTTATTTCAAGGAAAACATTTTGTATTTAAAGATTGAACTTCAATGTATAAGGTGTGCCGGAATAACCACTTTTAATGTATATTTAAAAAATTCTTGATGAAAACAACTTTAAAATCCTTAATGAACAAACTTGCTCATTAAGCGTCACGAACTAATATTTAAACTGGGAAAAACAACCCTGCAATCATATTCTGTCTAAATACTAGTGAGGAAGGCGGCATGAAAAACATAAAAACATGTAACCTACATATTCCAGCAACATTGCCGTGAATGCTTTGTGTCGTCTCATGAACTCGCTGCTTCGTGGCATTCCGTTGAACAATTTCAAATCAAGAACTAAGAAAATGAGTTTCAGAAAGAGCGCGTAATTTTAAATTACCGTAACAAAAAACAACCAAAGAGTTCCCAAAAGGGCGAAAGTAAAAGCCGTTTAATTAAAGCTAAAGCAAGCATTTTAATATCAACAATGATTTTAATATTGTTTTATCATTTATAAACAAAAATATCTGCTTTGAATTTTAACCATAACAGTGCTGTTAATTGCGAAGTAAACTTGAAAACGGAAAAAAAAAGCTATGCAGCTTTTTGTATAAGTTACATTTTGTCATTACTTCCAATTGCAGTCAAACTAACAGACTGACAGATTCTTAATTTTTATTATATGTAGAGATATGATTTGCTCTATGTCTACTTTATATTTATATTACCTTCAGGTTGAGGATTTATAAATAACACACAATTTATAATTGTGCTCGTCCTCTTATTAATTATTTTATTCATTATCGATTGCTTAAGCTCATATGTTGAAAATATTTTGACGCCCACATCAGTGGCGTGCGCAAGGGAGGGGTTTAGGGGTTTTAACACCCCCCTTGAGCTCAGACAAAATGGCAAAAATAAAAATTTTAGTAGAAATTATGCGAGCTATTATTTTTTAAGACTATATATTTTTATTTGCCTTATTCCTACTTTTTTTTTCTCACGGTATTTCTCAGAATACTGAAAAAACATTTACTCTAATAGGGTTGTACTTTTGAAACCAAATTCACGTGATACTGTTACGGACTGGTTCCTTTCTGTCCTGCCAGTATAGTTTTCGAGACTGGCTGTCATTCGCGACGTCTTTACGCGATGATTCTGGAATCCTAAACGTTCTGTCGTCTTTGAGACAATTCGA